GAGGTGGGGAGGTGGCGGCGGCCCCGGCCGCCCCCCGCCGGGCTGGGCTGCTGCTCTCGTCGGGGAAGGGGCGGAATGGGGTGGGGTGGGATGAGGCTTTCTCCCTTCTCTTCAAGCGCCCTCGATCCTCGGGTACGGGCATGTGGGTGTGTGCCTCCATATGCGCATTTCTAAAGGTCTTTTAGCATCTCTTATTCATTTGATTCTGTTTGTCCTCTACAAGAAATTACTAGGCTGCTGGAGGCTTATTTCTGCTAGTGACTGCATTTCTTGAGGGACTAGTCTATTGTGTCTCGTGTGTATTTATTTTTACTTATAGAGCTGAAGCCTACAAAGGTAGGAGATAGTGAACCTGCTGCTCCAGCGACCCTACCCTATCTAGAAATAAATGCAGGGCAAAAGAGATGTAAGAAAACCCTTGTCTGCCTGAAAAGCTGCCTGAAAAGCTGCCTGCTTCTTCCAGTCAAATCTAATAAAAGATATTATCTCTACCTCCAAACTTTATAATGCCAAAAAGCTTAAGTGCAGCTGTCAGTGAGGAGATCAGTGGATATCAGTCTTTAACTGCCTGCCTTAGAATCCTGATACAAACTATGACACAGTCGTAGAATCCTAGAATGGTTTGGGTTGGAAGGGACCTTAAGGATCATCTAGGCCAACCCCCCTGCCATGAGCAGGGACACCTCTCACCAGACCAGGTTGCTCAAAGCCCTGTCCAACCTGGCCTTGAACACTTCCAGGGAAGCTGCTATCTTATGGTATTTCTTATGCGTTCATAAATGGAATAATAGTGAGGGAATTAATGCACAGCTTATGTAACCCTCAGTAAACTTGCGTGTACTGTACTGTTTCTATTTTAAGAACTCTATTAGCCCAAACTGGATAATATTACAAGCATATTTCTGCAGAAAATTAGCCTGCATATGTCCTGGATCAGCAACCTGAGGTGTTGCATCCTGGCTGTAACTTTAAACTGAAAGCTCTTCAAGCAGTAAAACCATTCTTATTCATACTGCACCAAGTACACCAGTACCTAAATATTTCTAGCATGCTGTCAGTCCATTAAAGACTTTTGGTGCTTCTGTGAGAGTAGGTAGTGGATCTATGAAAAAGATGTGGTAATGCCTTTTTGGACTGCAGCCTGTGCTTTTGAGTACTTACAGTTTGAATGAAGGGAAGTACATGTGCTGTTTGGATATGCCTAGTGTTGCATGGTCTGTATTGCAACGCTAGACACAGCCCTTTGGTGCAACTTTCCTGTTGCCTTTTATAAATGGTAGTGCCCGTGGGAGCTATCACCAGTCAATAGAAGGTTTTTTTCTTTCTGTAGGGCTAAGTTAATGTTTGTAAGCAATGCTTTGTCAGCAGTGAATAGGAAAGATGGTGGGTGTGAAGACTAAACCAGCTGTTTAACTCTCTGTGCTACTTAAGAAGTAAAATGTAACATTCTTGTGCTCTTATGTAGCACCTCTTTTTCCTGGAAGGAGTCTGCCCCTTTCAAAAATTTCAGAAATATGCAAAACCAGGCTGAATAAACATGCACATGGAACAATAGTAGATGTTAAAATGAAATGAACTATTCAGTTGGTCTTTCCCT